CCACTTCTTCAAGTTGTTTAGGATAACGATCTGTTACTCATTGGCCATATTTAATTGTAATACTCACGTGTAAATTGTAATACTCTAATTAAGTAATAATTATATATGAATACTTGAATTGGGTTATATTAGTTATTGAAATTTGAAGTTTTGTAGCATGTTGAGCTTTAAGATGGTTTGGTATTCTAGAAAATGAGTTAAGTATGCAGCAAGTTGAGAATTTGTTTTTTGCACTTGAGCTACCAATACATTTATAAAAGGTATAGCCGTGCGGTTAAACTCGGTTTTTTTAAATTTTTTTAAAAAGGAAATCGTATAGCCGTGCGGCTGTACTGGGCTTTTAATTCTTTTAGATAAATAGTCTAGCCGCACGGCTATACACGGTTTTAAAAAAATTAAAGAAATAGTATAGCCGGGCGGCTAAATTCAGAAATAGTATAGCCGGGTTTTAAAATTTTGTTTAAGAGAAATAGTATAGCCGAACGGCTATACTCGGTTTTTTTTGGGTTTTTCAATTTTTTAAAAAATAGTATAGCCGATCGGCTAGACTCGGGTTTTAACTTTTATTTAAAAGAAACAGTATAGCCGAACGGCTATACTTGGTTTTTCTAATTTTTTATTTATTTAAAGAAATAGTACAGCCGCGAGACTAAACCAAAAAAATCAAGCACAATCAATCATGTTAAGCAATCAATCACAATCAATCATGTTAAGCAACCTAGAAGAAGGTACATAAGCTATGAGTATAGGCAGTATCGCCGCAATCCAAGGTGTTCTGAGCAACCCAAGACCCACCTCCATTTTAGCAAAAACCCAGATCAGAACAGAGCTTAAAGAGTTGAAAAAGGCTAGTCTCTCTGCCAAAGGAGAACACTGGCTCAACTGGGTCTTCAAGAGCAAACATTCTTATATATAGACCAAGTTTAGAGTATACTAATATCAACTAAAAGAAAACTCTAAAGTGCGCATCTCCTTAGTTGCAGATGAAGACTATAAATTGCCACCTAGTGGTCCATTGCGAGATGAGCAGGTAAGTTCCAAGAATATCAAAACATTCTAAGCCTGTATTCTTTTGCAACTTCCTTGTTATCTGCAATTTTTAAGTGGTTTCAGTTTTTGTTTTATTGATATGCTGAACAACTCTATCCAGGCGCCTATATCACGCAACGTTTACTGGGAAGGAGTTAGTGATGCTTGTGTATGTCTGGGTGGCTTTTCTTCTTGTTCAGATTGTTAAGGTAAGTTATCTTACTCTGTAGTTCTGTACAACTAAAGAAGCTTTTCTAGGAACTCATCTATTCGCATACCGGACCTTAAAATGCTCTCCAAAATATATGATCATCACTAGCAATGCAATCAAGTTCCATCTTTCTAATACCTCTGCATTTGCTTCCCAAGCACCATGATTTTAACTTTTGTTACTGAATTATTGGGTCCTGAACTCCTTGCAGGTAAGGTTAACAACCAGAGTAGTAAGATATCTTTCAGGGACACTATAGTTACACTTAACTATATACACTCAAGCGTACATAAAAAGAATGATGTCCAGTTGAACATAAATATTATCATTTCGTAGGTACCAAATTGCAGTCTCCGTTACACTCTTTGAAGCCAATTCTTGTGCAAAGGCACCAGGGTGATTGCATCCAAAGGAAAGGAAATCACAAACTGGAAGTTGCATGAGATTTTTCCTTACTGCAGCTGTGGGATAGTAGCTGGTATGGTGGGTAGCCTACTTGGGCTGGGAGGCGGTTTCATCTTGGAACCCCTTTTTCTTGAATTGGGAATTCCTCCTTAGGTATAGTTCAACGCAAGACAAAATTCACTCTATTCTTTTTGTCAGTCAGAAAATCTTGTCAAGAAATCCTTGGCAAGGAAAAATCACGGAAGAGGTTTGGATTCAAAATTCCTTGATCATTGGTTTTGATCCCAAGTCTTCCACGTCCATTTCCAACTGTTAGTTCTTTCTTATTAATCTTTTCTTTTAACTTGTTAATTTAATCTTAATGTATTCAGTTTAGACATAATTGAAGAACTATATGCCATCCTATTGGTCATGCAGGTGAGATAATGGGTGCTTCAGTTTCAACTGTACACTTCAATTTGAGACTTAGGCACCTAACACTGGACATGCCCCTTATAGATTATGATCTGGCATTTCTCTTTCAGCCAATGTTCATGCTGGGCATCAGCATAGGAGTTGCCTTCAACGTCAAGTTCGCCGACTGGATAGTCACAGTTCTACTTATTATTCTCTTCTTAGGTAATAACATTTTGACAAGAATTTTCTAACAAGTTTTTTACTATGAGAACTGAACTGATAACATGGAATATGAACACAACTAAAAGAAAAGCACATCAAATCTTTATATATATTGGGCTTAATCATTCTCTAGAAACTTCAAAACTTGGCATAAAATGCTTTCAATACCAAACATTTGAACTATTTTGTTATAATTTCAAAGCTTCTACTGGATTGTTTATTAACTTTCTTTGTTCCTTCTGAAAGTCACTATTTCTTGAATTATTTGGAAAAATGTAGGAAAATTTTATAGAATAACCAACCATTATCCAACTAAAAAAAATTCTCTGTAGTGTCTACAGAATATACACTCCCAATAATCTTATTAGATATTCTTCTGAGTTCTGGCTAGTACAGCAACAAAAACTTTAATGAAAGGCATATAAACATGGAAGAAAGAGACGATGATGAAGGTTAGATTTTCACACAACTCTCTGATCCCCTGGGCTATCAATGAGAAGGGTCTGCTACCAACGTACTAACAAGGAATTTGAGGTTTCACATGACTTTCAGGAAGCAGAAAAGCAGTTGGAATTGGAGTCCAAATGTGGTGGTGAGTGTATATACAGACCAAGTTTAGAGATTATGCACTAATATGAACTAAAAGAAAACTCTAAAGCGCACATCACCTTTGTTGCAGATGGTTTCATTGCAAGATGAGCAGGTCAGTTCCAAGTTCTTGGTTAGCCGTAATTTTGAAGTTGTTTCAGATTTTGTCTTATTGAATTTGTGAACAACTCTGTCCAGGTACCTATATCACACAACATTTACTTGAAGGAGTTATCGATGCTTGTGTATGTCTCAGTGGCTTTTCTTATTGTTCACATTGTTAAGGTAAGTTATTTTACTATGTAATTCTGTATAACTAAATAAGCTTTTCAAAAGATAAGATCATCACTAGAAATGTAATCAAGTTCGATCTTTCTAATTCCTCTGCATTTGCAGGGGACGCACACTATTGCTTTGAATTTTGTTACTGAATGAATCTATCTGAATCTTTATGCAGACATCACTAGCAATGTAGTCAAGTTCGATCTGTTAGGTTTGCTATGGTCACACATCACAACAAAAGCATGATAACTCAAATGAATGCCCTAAGAACCATGAAATGAAATTATAAAGCTGATTATGGGTGCACTTGGAGTGAAATTAAGCTTTAGAATCGGTTTTTCTATTTTTTTTTTTTAATAAATAGTATAGCCGTGCGGCCATACTCGGGTTTTCAAATTTATTTCAAATAAATTGTGTTTTCCTTTGACAAAAAAAGAAATAGTATAGCACCGAGGCTATACTTGGTTTTTTTAATAAAAAAAAATTTAGAATAACCGAGTATAGCCGCGCGGCTGTACAATTTCTTTTTAAATAAATTGAAAACGAGTATAGCCGTCGGCTATACTATTTCTTTTACAAAAAATTTAAAAACCGCCTATAGCCGCCCGGCCATACTATTTATTTTAAATAAAATTTAAAAACCAAATATAGCCGGCCGGCTATACTATTTATTTTACTATAGATAGTTCTGAAAAAAAAAAAAAAATTCTAGTCCTAGTCCAATTATACACCAAATGCAGGATAAGCGTCATCCAACTTAGACCAAGCCAAGACAGTCCTTAAGCATAGTCCATGCCTAGACAGTCATGTGTAACAAACGAGCCCTCAAGTGTTTAACACACATGAAAGTTGACAAATCATGAACAAATGAGAAATTCTTTCATATCGCGAGAGAGCATTGTTTTACTATTTCCAACGAATCACATCTCCAATGGCGGAACCACACACACTGTTATGGTGGTAGCTTTTTAAAGAAAGAAAAAACCTACATATATGGACCACCAGCAAATACAACACATTAATTAGGGAAATGAAGTCACGAAGTTGTTTAATAAATGGCTTTGAAGAACAAAATAAAAAACCTATATAGCCCATCAACAAATACAACACATTAGGGAAATATGAAGGCCGGCGGTTGTTGAATGAAAGGGTTTAAAGAACAAATGAAAAAACCTATATGGCCCGCCATAAACAGATTAGGAAAATATTATTTTTCTAAAGTCTGTTTGTATTCTCTACTGCCTTTGGCTGTTGTTTAATAAAATATCCTTTTCTGACCCAAATAATAAAGGGAAAGCTTCTCTGACAGTCCAATAAAAACCCTCACAAGTACATCAACCCACAATTACAGACTCATAAAGTAATTGAAACTCACAAGTGGGAAGAGGCTTGTTTTCAAAAACGAAACAGTATGTTAACTTAATTCTATTGCTCTTGTTCTTGAATAGGTTACACTGTCAATTATGTAGTTGAACATATATTCATTTTGATAATATGAATTTTTTAGTTGTATTTAATATTTATTTGTTTTATGTTATATGTATTTAATTTTTTATTTATATGATTTAATATATACTTTTATTTATATAAAAAATTATGGAAGCTGTAAGTTAAAAAAAAAAAAAAAATTAAGCTAAAAATTTAAGCTAGCCTTCACATTGAAAAATTCATGGTTTCGCTCTTCCACATCCCACCACACATGATAAGGCTGAAACAGTACTATCCCCACGACATACAAGCTCTTCTGGTGAAGAAAGACATGATTGAAAACTATATTATATAAATACAAGATTATTAAGAACTGTCATAACCGCTGATCCTTGCACATGTAAATGAAGGCACCCCAAAAAGCTACTGAAACGACATATTGGCATAAGGAGTCAAAAGTATGTTTGAAATGTCCATTTCACCTCGCGGGCTCTTTTAAGTTGACAAAGAAGGTTCTCTAAATCAATTGATTTTTCTTGTCACATGCTCGATTACTAAATAGGAAAAGCTTTCTTTCTGCAATAACTGCATAAGCAACTTATTGCAGACATTGTTAGTAATATTTTGCATCTAATCCATCCCATTTAGATTTGAAGAGTCTTTTTACAAAAGAACAATTCTCTAAAGCAGACTGTCCCAATCATGCACATGCCGCCCTCCAAACAGCCATTTTCAGAATCTGGACTGTCTGCATTGCCGAAAACCATGTCGAATGTCAATGAAACAGATTCCAAATAATCAGCTTGAACAACCAATCTCTTCCTTGATATATTTAACAGCATTTGAGACTCCATCCTGAAAAGTAAAACATCATTTAGTAAATTAGACTCGTAGCACCTTCTATTCATATTTTCAATTTTCAGAGAATAAACACATAGTTTTGGGATGCCAATAGTTCCTTCTACTTTTCATTCTTATTAGAATGGGGTACTGAGACTATTATTTGAAATTTCAACTCTAATTGTAGAACTAGATTAAAACAAAATAAAGGGTCCCCAAATCTCCAAATTATCAACACTTATGAAACTAGGAAGATCCAACCTAATAGATATGCAAAGAAGGTACACGTTATACATTCCCATGCAGTGTAGATTGATTTTTGACAGGCCACCATCAATTAATCTCTAGCAGAGAAAGCTGCATCCCCTCATAAGAGTTCAGTGCCTTCCCGAAGGAAAAGGGTAACCTATACCATTTAAATTTGTATATACATCGAATGGCATCACATGTTACACATACCACATTGAACATCGAAAAACTTAAACAAACATGTTGCACGCTAACAAAACTAAAAGTCCCCTCCCCTTTCCTCTTCCTCCCCCTTTCCACCAAATCCATTTGAAATTATAGTGCTGTGAAACTACCAACAATTATTATGTTCATAATTCAGAAGTGAGTATTACCTCAAGAGATATTCTCTTAGAAATTTCTACAGCGTGTTCTCTAATTTCGGGAGATAATGCATCATGTATGACCCTGGATAGCAAATTCGCTGCTCCTTGGATTTTTTTTTCATCACTTTCTTCTGGAAGTAAGTGGCTTCTTTTCAATGGTTCTGGTGCTACTCCAAGCCAGAACATTCTTTCAGCCCAATAAAACTGATCTAGCAGAAATGGGCATACTACCTGCCATCTGAGATAAATTACTTTTCTGCATCATGTATGTTACAGGGGAGGGGGAGAGAGAGAGAGAGAGAGAGAGAGAGAGAGAGAGAGAGAGAGAGAGAGCCCCTTCATTGTTACTACTGATATACTTGATCAAGAGAAATACAATATATGTTAAAGGTCGAATATATATAAAGAAGCAAAAATATGGTACTACCAGAACTAACCTGTGGGATTCCTGCAAGTAGTGCTGCAGCAGTAGTGCCACTACTTCCACATTTACAGAAAACGAATAGTAAATACATTGCTCATTACGTATTTCCTAAAATGTTATGTCAGAAAAAAAAAAAAAAAAAAAAAAAAAAAAAAAGCTGAAATCCCCTGGTCTTTCAAGTTGTAAGGAATTTCAATTTCATTCATGTTATCTTAATTGATCCAATCACATACATTAATTTTCTACTATTTCAATGTAGTCCCAACCATGGAGGTAGAGACTGAGGGCAGACAGAAGCTTTTGGTGTCAAGTTTCTCATGCTAAGATGGCCAAATATGCTGCTAATATACAACAACAATAAATAACTTACGGATGGGTTTGGGGACACAGTAGACAATGTTGACAGACTGGAACCTTTTCACTGTGTTCCCTCACTCTCTCCTCTTGCACTATAATTAGAAATCCTCTTTTTTCTGTCATTGCTGCTGCCAGAATTCTCTTTTATTTTTTCCCCCTCCCCTCTCCTCTTTTGAACTCAAAAACCAGAAACCACTAGACTCTGAAAACCCCAAAAACCCACAATGCCAACGAAAATCCACACATGGGTCTCTTGAAGAGATATTGGAGTTGGGTACTATGTAACTGAAAGTTTTTCAATAATATGAGAAATGCCCCGGTGAAAAGGAATCAGTATGGAAATAATTTGGGTAGCTGAGCATGATTCAGGTATGCTGGTGCTATAGTGGAGCTGAGGTTTCAAGCAGACAACTCTGTATGGTGTAATGGTGATGCTGCAGATGCTGGAGCTGTTGATGGACGGCTGGAGTCCAAGTGGTTCCCCCTCGGAACATAAACTACGTTCTAAAGTTCTGAAACATAAAATCTATGTTTCTTATATCGAAAAGTCTAAAATGTTAACAGTATGTCTAGCCACATCAGCCCAAAATCTTGACATCCCATTAACTTCCATTTGCCTTGGTTTACAGAATTACATCATCCATGACTGATATTACATTGAAGTAACTTGAAAGAAGAAAAAATTAATATATTCAATTAGAGCAACATAGACAAAATTGAAATTCCATACACATTAAGGGACCAAAAAGGTACTTAAACCAACGTATAAAGTTGGACTACTCTCACCTTCCCCCATGATGAATTGCAGCCGCACATCGAGTAAACAGCCACTTGTATGGTATGGTACTATTCAACAACGTAAGAAAATGTTATTCGGAGAGGAAAAGAGTAGCCAAAGACCAACCGACTGGACATAACTGATCTAGAAATCGTTTGAAATTAAACGGGTGAAAAGCATGATAGCTATTCTATGTTGTAGAACTGCAGTTGTAATTTTAAAGTAATCAAATCTTATGTACGATATTGGGAAAATATTTTCAGGTTCTGGAAAAAGGTTGCCAGGTTCTAGGATAAAAGTGGGAAGGCGCACAGCGTAATTCACAGTTTAAGACATGTAGATAATATATCCACTAAAGAAAGACATAGAGCATATAATGTTAGCTACAGTTGGTTGAATAACTAAACATTGCAAGTTCCATTGTCCTTACAGGCTTCTGATGATGTCAATATTGTTTCTGATGTAGGATAAAAACAGCATGGTGGTTTAGGAATGATGGATCTAATCTAGCTAATTTGGTTTAGCCAATTTAGGGGATTGAGCAAATTAGTTTATTTGATTGGGGTGACTTTTATGGTTTGCCGAATTATTTGATTAAATTTTTGGTACGGAGGATTTATAAGGGTTTGGTTTTTGTTCAATTGATGAATAGAAACATATGATCCTCTTATTCTTTCAACAAATAAAAATCCAAAATCTTAGAAAGCTCCAAATAAGAACCAGTGATGCACAACTTTCAAGAGGTTCCTGCACTTGTCATTTAAGGTTCGTGCACAAGAGTCTAATACATAAAAACCAACAAATGCCATGCAAACTACCTTTTGAAGAAATAGGGTAGTAAGAAGTCATAAAAAGGCACCAAGAGGGTGCAATCCATGTAGACAATAGCATATGATATATATATATATATATATAATGAGAAATAACTATATAATTATTCAATATAAGAGCCCTGTATAACATTCGAAAAATGTTAAGATAGAAATGTCATTTGCCTATCACAACACATTCTGCAGAAATTAGCTTGGAATGCTCACCCAGAAAAGCAGAAGAGTCGATCATTGAAGAGAGAAAGGCACTCGTCATTAAACTGTTTGTGCATCACATATGATGATGATTCAGCAACAATCGCTCGGATTGCTGTATCTAAAGGCGTGTAGCCCGCTGTAAAGAGGATAAAGCGGTAACCTGTTATCTCCATGACCGTTTGGAGAAGTCGAAGAAAAGCTTGAGGGTTTTTTAAAAATCCCATGCTGCACATACAATGGGACACTCAATATCAGTATTTGGGTACAACATTACAATTGTTGTGCATTAACATGTAAGGAATAAACTGTCCAACTAGAAGAAAGCTATTTACGTATTTACACACTCAGCTGCAAGACCAGAGCATATAATAACTCAACAAAATCACAGAGTATAACCTGATACTCTTGTACTGTAATTTCTAAGAATGCATTAAAGCAGTTGCTAATGAATTAATTCGAGGGAGAACTTGCCTACCAATAGAGCTTAGGCCAATGAAAACAGGTGGCATAGGCATCGGAGTCTTCAGAAAATAATCTAAGTGAACATGGGCTGAACACAGTTCATCTTTTGTGTAAAGATGCCCTGAAGAATCAATCCTTGAAATTTCACAGCACTGCTTACATGAAAACTGCCATTCATTGGGGAGAAACCAAAAGCCACAAACCCGAACTTTTGATGGCCAATAACCTGTTAGAATCCTAAAACCACTGAGATGATCGACATAGCAGGAACAAAACGTGACTGAACAGATCAACCTTGTTTAATAAAAGAGACAGGATATGCTATAGCAATTATGGAAAATCACTTTTTGAATGAAGTCACATGCATCGATTATAGTAAAAATCACCATACTTAAAATGACCTGGCACTTATGCAGTATACTAATACTCCCACAGAACTCATGGGAACTACTACTGCTCATGGACTGTTACTAGAAAAGATTCTTGGAGTAGACCACTAACCATTTCTGGTTATAATAACTATGTCATCTAAGCTATTCTGCTGTAACAGAAACTTTTTAAGAATCATTTTTACTGTTTATCAAATTATACCAATTATTCTGTCATTTCATAGGCTTTTCCTTGAGAACGTTGGGCTCCAACAATGAAAACTAAGGCAAGAGCAGTAAATAAAATAAGATTTGAGAAAATTGTTAGTCAGAGAATGATTATCTACCTAGTGGCATCATATGCAAAACCATCACCTTTGCAATTATCTTATATCAACCTATGAATTTAGTAGTATTAAACAACCTGCATCCCCACCCCAAAACAGATGTACTTTATTTTTGGTGTGTGTATAATTTTTTTTTTTTTCTTTTTGTCTTCTGTTTTGTGGGGGATAGCAAACACAAACATGAAAACAATATTGAAAATTGTATAAACATGCTACCAGGGCACTCAACAACTTCTTTGCTAAATCCATACCTGCCACATAACAGGAAAATTTTCAGAATACTTGAAAAGAAAAGAAATTAAATAAGTATAAAGAATAACAATTCTCCATTCATAAAGATATTGTATGAAAAATAAAATTTCATTTGTTTAGTTGAATAGCTTGATGCAACTAGTCATTATGAAACAGTTTTGACTTTCAATTGTGATTTCTAGCATTCTATTGGTGGTGCCTCTCGGATCTTCTAGTTGCTACTAGACCGAAAAGGAATTGGCGAATTTTACATGAAATACAGCCCACTAATACATGGAACTTTAAAACCATATGGATCCAGAACAGTCATGGAATGCAAAAGTACCGGGGAGTAAAAAGTTTTAGTTAGCAGATAGGTGCAGAAAGATAACCAACACACACTCTCACATGCATAAGTTGGAAACTCAGAACTCACAAAAGAAGGGGAGATGGAGGCCTATCGTGCCAAGTGGGTAGACCTGTTACTGGATCCTGCATTTAACAAAGAAGCAAATGCATAAGTTCCAAGATAACCAGAGAAGCTACGTGATTATGAAAATTGTCAGCTCAGATGATATGAAAGTATATTTAATGAGTCAAGAACTCATTGCCGAAATAAACCGAATCTGTCAATTTTGGTCTGTAAAGACTAACTGTTACAATATACTGAACGCATTAAGAGATTTTGTGTCAAAGATATTAACTGTAAAAGGGCAAGGACTCATATTCAAATTGTCACACCTCCAGGATCCCCAATATTCAGTGAAAAGTGGCCACATCCAGTGAATCACATCTTTCCAACAAACCTACGTGCATACAAAGATGAAAAGAAGAATGTTATTTCTGCAGATCACAAACTCATATTAATATAAAGAAGAGAAAGGACTAAAATTAAATTCACTTGTAAGTGATGCGTACACCATCAATTTATGAGACACATACCAGAAAGATCAAAACCACAAATACGAGCATTATTTCCAAATAGGTAAATCTAAAAAAACTAAAGTACCTTGCTGACGTCAGCTTCCTTAAGGTATTTATACAAAAGTGGAAGTTCCTTTTTAAAGTGGCGCTCAAATGATGAAGGTGCACTGGAAGAAACTAAACAAAAATTAACTTCAAATGATCAAACCAGAACTCCAAAACATTATAAACTATTACCTACTTGAAAGTTCTTACAAAGTAATTCACTTTTTTCATTCCCTGTATATACCTCAACAAAAGAATGCTATCCCAATATTGATAATATAAGGATATAGAATAACCTCTTTCTCACTTTATATAATATTATATGTAGGTAAATTAAAATACCGCTTTCAGGTATCTTCATACAATTATGTTCAAATACAGATTTTCCTTTGCATATGATAAGTGGAACACGTTATCCAGTAACATTTCCATGTGGCCCCTAACATAAATAGAAGATGTATTACCTGTATGGAACGACATAAGGTGCAGCAACCATGCAACGGACACGAAAAAGTTCCGCAAAACTCCAGCCTTCCTGGATCATCACGCAGTGAAACCAATTTAGGTAGTACATCATTATACCCACTGTCCAAAATTCTAATTGAGTCTAATACTAATCGAGGTATATAAGTTGTTGACAATAAAAAAATCTAAGATTGAATATTCTAAGCTTCTCATCTCAATGTTTCAAATCATCAGCCTCTTCATCTATGTGTTATGCCCAATTTTCCACATGTGCTCGATGTCCCCTACTACAATTGATCTATGTGTTTCGCTCAATCTGCCAACTAATGGGGGGACGTATTCAGAATATAAAAGTCCCACACATGTATTCTATGCCTGGCATCTTATATATCAGGCCTCTCCATGCATAATCCTAAGTTGATGTGTAGACGTTTAAGAAGTTTAAGCAGGCATTAAATCCCATGTATGTGTACTATACATGACAGAGAAGAATTTGAATGGAAAGTCATATAACCATACAGGATTTCTAGTTTTTATATTTAACACCCTTTACTTTCAAAAAACATTTTGCTTTATATTTGATTCTTTTATGCCAAAAATGTATTAATCTATATAAGAGATACTTTGACTTAAGTTTTTCCATAAAAACAAAAAACAAAACAAAACAAAGAAAAAGCTTAAATGGGAAGTACCAAAGCAAAGAAATTTATCACAATAAAATCACCCTCCATGCTTGGGCCAGCTCCAAATATGGATTCAACTACCAAATAACATTCTTGTCTGTGTTCGCTAGAAAACATCCTTTTCTGCAGTGAAAATGGCAACTCCACAGAGCCTGGGATGATAAAAGATCCAAAGAAAACGTTACATAGTTGTTAGATTGTTCTTTAAACAAGCCAGAGCAAATAAGCTCTAGTATATTGAGAGAAAAATGAGAGAGAATTCAGTAATTTGAACCAGTAGGATCATGTTTCTGATGGATAGAGAGAACAGGTGGTGATGAAATTGGACGATATGAAACATGTTTTTCAGCCAAGTGACACCTTAAGTTCTGCACGACAAGTGACAACCAACAAATTTAAAATACTCAACAAAATTGCTAAATACACATCAAACAAAAAGTAAGCAATGATGAACCTTTCCAAAAGTATGATAAGTTTTATAAATATATTAACATCAATTCTTCACAGTTTGATAGGGAATTGGAGCTGAAACAAGAACAAAAAAAAAAGTACAAGGAAAAGCTCATACAACTGTTCCTTTTCTTTTGGTTATTCTGTGGATGGCTAAAATACCAATAAGAAGTTGACTTGCACCATGTCAATTTAGGATGATTAATAATTTAGGGTCATTGTGAGTCATTGATTTGTGTTGACCATACTGTGAAATCAACATATCAATAGTGATGAGGAGGGAGTTTCGCATCTGCATAATGTACGTGAAACAGCCTATATGATACATGCATAAAGACATACCATACCCATACATATATAAGTAACTAAAACAAGTACTCAACCCTGAACCCTGAGAGAGATCCACGATCACACAACACTCACTAAGTGTTTTAGTCCCAAACATAGAAATATTTTCAACTATTTATTACTTTTTTCAGCTGCTTGTTTCTTTGTTGGGTGAGTGAGTGTGGGTGTGTGTGTTTCTGTTTGTGTTTGTGTTTGTGTTCGTGTGTGTATGTGGACACAAGCACATCATTGTCTTTCGTAATGTGTGTACTTGGAAACTCTATTATAGAAACCAACATTCCAGTTTTGTACTAAAATCAGCCTTAACTGGTACAAATTTATTTAGTAAATGTGATTGCTGACTATGCCAGTAAACCTAAAAAACAAAAACAAAAAGCAACGTCTAAGAAGTGTTAAGGCCTTCAATAGTATGAGACAAATATGTAAATTTTGTAACTCAAACATCAACCAGCATTTGAGCCATACAGAAAAATACAATCCCCTAACACAAGAATACTAAAGGGTTTATTTAACAAGGTTAAGGATGCGTTGACAAAAAAAAAAAATTAAAAGAAAAATAAAATAGAGTCAATTTGACATAGCATAATTTGTCAATTAAACATGATTGTTTTTTTATGCAACTCCACCGGAGTTCCGAACAGTGGACAATGCAAAATTGTGGGCTTTACTGAGAGAGAAATGTGATCTCTCTATTAACACTAGATATCATGTTTGAATGGGTTTGCTAGTGGCACAACTCTGCTTGCTCAGTAATTTACCCTATCTGGTAACCATTCAAGAACAAGGGGTATCTTTAGTGTACCATTTTTAATGGTGTTAGATTTAGATTCTCTAAATAGGCTTCATTTCATTTACCCTATTTGGAGTTCTTAAAATCTAACATTAATCAGCAGACGAGTCAAAGCCTGGAAAGCAAGTTAGAGCAAACCTCATGAGCTGAATGCGTGATTAGAACGACGTCGTATTGTCTCTGGTCACAAGCAAAAGCCACAGCAATGGCCTGCAAAGTGAAAACACAACAAAACAAAACGGAGAATCAAAAACTCCACCAAAAAACTGTCAAATCATTTTGCAACATTAAATTTCTTGCATTTTCCCGGGACCCAAACGGAAACAGGTAGAGAGATGAATGGAAGAAAAGGATGACTTACAGCAATTGGGTAGACATCGCCTTTGGTACCGAAGGCCATGAACACAGCAACAGGTTTCGTCCTCTCTGACTCAACCTCCATTGCAATTCTCCACTGTGAGGTGTAAAGCCTGAGACTTGCAAGTGTGCCGCAGTGGCGGAGCCAATTTTATGTTTATTTCTTTTTGGCTTAAATACAAAAATGTTCCTGTGTTTTACCACGTTAGCCAATTTAGTCCCGTGTTTTCAATTTCACCAATTCGGTCCTGTGTTTAGTACCGTTAATCAATGTTGTCCATTCCATTAAATTACAAAAATTTAAAAACTATTTAAATATTAATTTAAAAAAACATAACTATTTGAATATGAATATTAAAGGGAAAGAAAAGAAAATTTGAATTTGTTGATGCTCCTTTTCGGGGAGGGTCAACTTAGAGAGAGGGGGTTGTCTTTAACAAGAGAAGGGCCTGGGCCTTCGGTAGGGGGCTAGCCTGCAAAAGACAAAAATAGGAGAAGCAATCGTAAGCTTCGGACACCGGTGTGGTGCCGGCCGAAGGCTCTCCGATGC